CCTGTCTCCCGGTTCGGCTGCCTCCCGCAGCAGCCCAGGGAGACGGGGAGCAGCTTTTCTCGCCCCGGAGGAGGCGGGCGGCGGGACCAGGCGTCCTGCCGCTCCAGTCCTCTGGGGTGAGAAATCCCCGTTTGTAACTGCGGATCCGACATAAGTCGGATCCGCGTAACTCGTGGACTGCCTGTAGATGCACCAGGGACCAAGATCTGACCCATAGCAGAGATCAGCAAAACAGTACAAGCAAAAATGATATTTATGGTAAACCAATGCTTCTCTCAGAAGTAAACATGTTTGTCTGTATCTGCAAAAACAACAAGGAGTCCTGTGGCAGCTTAAAGACTAACAGATTTATTTGGGTATAAGCTTTCATGAGTAAACACCACTCTGGCAGATGATTCTCACTGTAGTCATCTTATAAGATTTTCTCAGCAGATTATGAATAGGATATGGAGTCTTTTGCCTCTGGGTCACTAGTTTGAACATCCCCAAAGTTACCAGCAAATACTGTACTGTCGAATAGCTGTGTAGTGACCTTTCAGTAACTTTCCAAGTAAAGTCATCTAAAGCTCAGCTGGCACCAACTACTTCACGTCAGTTTTGTCTGAGAGGCCAAAGCTTTAATGGACAGAGAATGAACTGTCATTCCCTTTGGGTCAGAAGTGGGGTATGTTGTTGGGTTTCATGCTGCTACTACCTACCTTGTGGCTGTGCTGTCCATAGATAGCTTCAATCTTCTCAGGGGTGGGGAATATTTTTTTGGGTCGGGGGCTGCTGACCACCAGGCTAATAGATTTTGTGTGCTCCAGCCCCATGGTGGGATAGTGGGGATGGAGTGCCAGTGCAGACTCCACAATGCTGGGGGGGGGGACCCCAGCCTCAGAGGTCGGATCCAGGCAAGCCAGGGACCATATGTTCCCCACCCCTGCTCTAGGCCATTGATCCAACAGCTTTCAAAGCATTAAGTTAAATATATGTAATGATAGTTTTCAAATAGCAATCAAGGTTTTCATTGGTTAGTTACACTACGGTACAAAAATTCAAACCTCTTGTCTGAAATGTGCAGACTGCCAAGAAATGTGGCATCTCATCTAAACAAAGGTTCCAAATATATCCTCACACAGGCTTTCTTATATGATTATTAGACCAAAATATTTGGGGTGAAAGTCAGCCCCAGTGTAGCTCCTTTGGCTTCATTGCAGTAAAACTCCCTGTCAAAGCCTTAAATTCAAAGCACGACAAGTTGCAAGTTGTGAATAGTAAGATGAAATATGGTAGCAAGTACCTGAATGTTGTATTTGTATGTGCTCCACGGATAACCCTACGGAAAGTCTTTACTTGTGCCTTTCACTGCACTTCATTTACCAATTTCTCGTGAAAATGTATTTTGCCCTCGTCATTTTACAGTTATTTTATCCCTCCTCCCCTGCTCCCTGCTTAAAATTAACTTAATATTTTTGGCTTTTAGGTCTGAATCGATTGCTTACTAATGGCTCCTATGAAGCTGCATTTCCTCTTCATGAGGTACTTTTCTAACATTTCTTTGTGGCTCTTAATTCAACTTTAATACCAATGTCGGTGAACCTGAATCTCCTCCTTTTCTAGTTTTACACCATTGCAGGGGTGGCCAACCAGCGGCTCTTCAAAGGAAAAATTGCAGCTCCCGCACCCGCAGCTCGGCTCCCGCACTCACGGCTGTTCTGCTTTCCCCTGCTCTGACCTTTTTTCCTTGTCTGGCCAGGGTGCCGCTTAGGGCAATGAGATCTGATGCTGTGGCTGACAGAAGCCCGCTTGGGCCACATGTGGCTCTTAAAGGGGCAGATTTTTTTCTCAACTTTTTTCCCTTGGTTCTTTGTCTGTAATGAGTTGGCCACCCTTGCACTATTGTATCCCTACTGGCTTCTGTGGAGAGTTACTCCTTACTTACACACATGGTGTGAGCATTTTCTTTGCTTTCTTTCATTTAATGATGGCTCTTCCTGAAAATTCTTGTGCTTCGCACTCACATACTGTCCTCCCTTGGTGGCTATGAATAATGTGATAGTAACAATTTGTGTATTACAGGAGTATTCAAACATTTTCATGGTGCGGACCATATCTAAATAGAGAGTGAATCTGAGGGCACCACTTCCCTCCCGTTTGCAATCACATAGCTCATTCCCACTCTTTCACTAGCAATCCCTGTGGCAACTACCAAAATTGTTTTGTATGAAAAAGCAACAGTGGGGGAGGGGAGGTTAATGTGCTTTTTAACTCCTTTGAACACTGTGTAGCACCTAGAAACAAGAGGAGCCAGTATCAGGTCACCAGCTGGCTCTTCACAACACACAATCCGACTGGTTTAATGAATCACTTTGACAGTTACTCTTACATTGTATATTGAAGTGCAAAACTGTTTTTGAACACTTGAGACCACCTTGTAAGCTAATAAAATCTATTAAAACAGAATTGTGCAGAAGCTCACCTATTGCATATTTGTTCTTTTATTGTCCACATTTGGGATGTTAAATATCAGTTAATTGAATAGTCAACTATTCTATAGTCCCTGGGCACTCCCTGTCGGGAGGGAAGTCTGAGCTCCTGGACCTGGCACAAGCCGGATCTGAGCCAGGCTGCCTAACCGCCTGGTTCCTAATACATTTTAAATGCAGAGCCTCAGCAGGAGTAGGTCCTGGACCTGGCACAAGCCGGGACTGAGCTGGGCTGCTGGCCAGCCTGCTAAAAAAAAAAATTCCTGGCAGAGGGGGGGGGGGGGGAGTGCGTGTAGTCTATAGCATTAACCTAAAAGCTTTTGTTTATCAGTTAATTGACTATACTGTTACATCCCTAGTTCACATCACTGAGGCATCTCGTCACCTTGGAACTGTGTATGAGACAATAAAATAGCCTCTTTAGTTTTTAGAAAGCAACAATCTGAATCCTTTACTCCCTTCAGGAGTTTACTCCACCTCTTGATAGCCCCACAACTACTTCTTCTGAAATACTCCCATTATCAGCAGCATGTTAAATAGACCTCTCTCAAAGTGAGCAGCCTCCTTCATAGCTATGGCTAGTATCACTTTGGAGATGGTTATTTCACACACACTAATGGATTATACCTTACAACACCAGTGTGAGGCAAGGGTGGCATAAATGGAAGTGTTGACATGACCAAGATCATGCTATTGAGTTAATGGCAGAATACAGGCAGTGGAACTAAGGATTCCTGATTTCCAGTCTTAGGGTGTGTCTACACAGCAATTGGAAATCTGAGTGCAGCTTGGGTACTCAAACCCATGCTAACTTTAATCTATGCCCACCTGAACTGCCACCACATTTCTCATTTCAGTGTAAACATTGAGAGCCCACCTTTATGTTCTAATTGCACCACACACTATGCTGTGCATGCACCTCCCTTGAATAAAGATTTGATAGTGGGACTTATTAGTTCTTAACCTTTTGCAAGCTGCAACCTGCTTTTCCATATCAGGACTGCTTTGGGAACACCCTCCTAATTACCAGAACGGAAGGACAGGATGGTCATGACCACCTGACATCTGTTTGCAACCTCTGATCTGAATAGCGCCAGTTACCAAATACAGGTCTAAGAGAAATTAACCTGTAAGGCAAACTAGTTCAACCAAACCAATGCTAAACTTGTCTTTCTGTTTTTCTGCAAGGATTTTATATAAACTGTTCAATTAAAACACATTGGAGAGTTCTTAGCAGCGAGTATATTTTGTTTAATATTTAAATTTGTATTTCAGGGAAGCTACCGAAGTAAAAATTCCATAAGAACCCATGGAGCCGAAAACCACAGACATCTGCTTTATGAATGCTGGGCCTCGTGGGGAGTGTGGTATAAATACCAGCCCTTGGATCTTGTTCGGTAAAACTTTTTATGTGCTTTTCAAATGTTGCCCTGTGTGTAGTGGGATACAGAGTGGGCTGTGATGGTAGGGAAATCTAACAGGAATATAAAGAGCTCCGTTAATTCCTCTGAGAAATGAGCCCAAACACTCACCAGCCAGTGGGAGCTGGCACCAGTACATTTAAGGGCACAATTGGATGTTGAGGCCCAGATTATTTTGTGTCTGTGGAAAGATTTATAAGAAGGGGGACCGGAGGAAAGAGAACTGCTTTCCTTGCAGAGTTTCCTGACAACATAACCTGTAATGGGAGGGATTTTAGAAGAGGACAATATCTCCCAACCTTAAGTCCTGGAGAAAGGATCTCCCAGATTTCTGAAGGCAGGAGATATGTGAAAGGGTAGCTATTGATTGTACTACTTCCCCTTCCCCCACAGAACAAGGATTCAATAAGAACCAGCTGCAACTGGCTAGGCCCTACTGCTGTGCTCCAGTACCATCCATAGGAGGATCCCAGAGTAAATAAATACAGTTCACTGCTGGACTAGCTCTCAGCCAGGGTGCTGTAGAAGGCAAAAGGCCACTTGGCCTCCTCCCTACCACTTACCAAGCCTCTTCCACATGGTGCCATAGTGCAGGTGCAGCTGATGGGAAGAAAAAGGGTGACTCTAAGTCATCTTTGTATCCTGGGACTGAGTAGGGCCCGAACTAGCCTCCAGTGCAAATTAGAACAGACACAGCTGCTTTAACTATTGCCAGCTATAATGCCCCTCCTAAGGATCATTTTGATGGTCTGGGATAACGAAGTACATTCTCATAGCACTTGTCACAACAGGATGTATGGAGAGATTTAGTTGCTAGGATACATTTGTAGAATGAAAATACTGAACTAGAGATCAGCCCATGTCAAACATGGGCCTGATTCTGGTCTTGCTTTCATTGCAGTATGTGGAGTTATCACAGTGTAACAGGAGTGTGACAAGAAAGATGCCATTTCTCCATCTCTCAATCAGTGTGTACTGACACAATGGCTGTACTGTGTGCTCCATAAGAATAACGGTTCCCGAGTGGCTTCAGTTTCCTTCCTACATTGCGGAAGTTGAGAGAGTCAGTGGCAGCACCTCTTCTCTCTGCCATGTAATGCTCAGACTAAAACTGAGACCAGCCTCCGTATCAGAAGAAGCTGTTGGCTTGATGCCTAGATCACAAGTGGAGCACTGCCATTTTGCAACTGGCAGGCATAAAGGATTCCAGCAGGGAAAAGACATTGTTGGTCAGGAATGGTTTTCATTTGTGGGGTGGGGCATAATACAAGAGAGCTCATATGAAGGGGTCATAGTTGCTAAGTGAGCCATGCCTTAGACCTCTTTTGGTCCCTACCAACTGCACCCTTCAAGTGACTGGCTTGGCTTCTGCACCTCTCACTGGGTGGAACCCCCACGTAGTTTAATCACTCCCACCTTGGATCTCTGGGCTGTAAACGCCTCCCCTCACCCCCACACAACTTGCTGCTATTTACCAACCATGCTAACCTACCAGGCTAACTGCATTTAGCACCTGTCATCCCTTTTTCTCAGTGAACCCACAACTGATGAAAGTGACTCAAAAACAGCTTCACAAAAAAGTCAGTACTTAATTGCCATAGGAAACATAGCATTTAGAAAAAGGGGTTATCCTAGCAAAGCATCCTAACTGCATGTTTCCTACCTAAGCTTACTCTATCCAGAGCTCAGGTAGGGCCAGCATATTCCCATCTCTGGGTTGGGAGGGACAGCCTCCTTGCTGCACTCCCCATGTTTGGCGTGCCAGACTCTGTGTGCTGGCAACTCACTTAGTCCTCTCTTCTTTCCTGAGGCCAGCATCTTTAAGGGTTAGGAGCCACTTTGAGCCTTGATTTTGGACTGGGAGGAATACATCTCACCAGACTAGCTGGTGGCTGGCAGGGGGTATCCCTAATTTATGGCTTTCCCATTGTTTCCCCATAGAGTCTTATCTTTGTCATTGCTGATTTCCTGTTGGTCTGTCCCTTAGCAGTGTCCTGTGACCTAACTCCTGGCAGTCACACAGATTAATATTGGTCAAATAACCTGAGGAATACTAAAATAAGACACACAACTCCCATTGACCACCAAAGACTTTCTTTAACACTTTGCTTCACTACTTTGAATTATATACATTGGTAAAAATAGGTGCTGATGCAAATAATCTCATAAAATGTCAATTTTCTCTCTCAGTGGAGCAGACACAGATTGTCAGCCAAAAAATTGGGCCACAGGGTTCATGCAGCTGAGTCAGGCATCTGAAACTGTTGTCAGTGCGCCTTGGTACAGCTAAACTTGCTACCCTTATCAATACTGGCCCTGTTGTTATCATGTTTCTGTCTCTTCGGCCAGAAGAATTGTGGGTTCTCTTGAATGACATAGGAATAAAAGCAATACAACAATATTTGGCCTTTGGTATAGTGAAGCCGAGTTTCAATGATGATAATCAGTGTCATTAAATCTTCATCTTCCTTTCAAATACAAAATATAAAATTAATTCAGACAAATGGATTGCTCAGGCTGGAAACTCTTTGACACGCACTTTAAAATTGATGATTTTGTCCATTACAGGCTATAAGTTGCTTGCTCTCTTTCTCTCTCCTCCACTGCTTCTTTCCTAAGAAACAATTGGATATGTTTTTCCTTACTATAAAATGACCACGAATATTTTTCAGGTAGTCTAAAGGCCACAACACTGGTAGGTTTCACTCTTTGACCTTGGCAGTCAAATGTTTCAATATTAACATAACAAATTGTGTTGATACCCAGCTGTGATTCACCCTAAAGTTCTGAAGTTCAGGGTGATTACGTTCCTTCATTCCTTAAAATGAATCTGGAGAATTTTTTTTAAACTGTTCATTATCATTATGTAACACCAACAGACCTGGGTTGTCCGCAGACAGAACTGAACCTGAGAACTTAGTGACTAAAGCCTCTACCGCCTCAACAAAAAGCTAACTGGCCCTTAGCGAAGGCTGTAGAACAGACTTCCCTAGCGATATCAGAGCCTCTTGGTTATGATTATTGTAATTATTTAGTGATTTATAAAGCATCCAACATCATGATCAGAGCCTGGCACGCTTTCATGCCATTTTGGAATTGTGAGATGAAATTTTCTAGACACTCTGGTAAGAGAAGTTTAAAACAAAACAAAATGAAAGTGAGGTAGAAGAGGGTTCTCTGATTCATTAATTCTTCTCTGGGAGAAAGAAGAATTTGAGTGATTGCACATGTCATTCCACTCGTGCTGTCAATGCATCTAGCACCCGACCATTGGAAATGGTGCCTGTTGTCTGGTTCAAGCTCCCCTTACTGCCAGGTGCCACGGTATTTAGGAATAAAGGGAAGAGCTGCCCTAATCTCCCTCAGTTCTTTTTTTACCACCTGTGATGGTCATTGGAACACTATAGTATACCAGAACAGTTCTTTCTCTCAGCCTTGGTGAACATGGGGTGTGTGGCGATAGATAGATCGATAGATAGTCTATTTGTCAGTGTTAGGATAGTAAGTTTTAGATGTATTATATAAAAGATTGGACTTGTTGTTTTCCCCATTTGGGACTCTTACCATTCACAGGGCCAACGTATGTGCCAGGCTCAGGATTTCAAGCCATGTGCTTTCTGCTCCAAATGTGTGCCAGTGAGCAACCTGTGCAATAGTTGCCAGAAGTACTTAGGGGAAGCACATGTGAAGGAGCAGTGCCAGATTTGCAGAGACTTCAAACCTAGGACAAAGGGTAGGAAGGTTAGGTTGAAACTCCTGAACTAGAGGAGGTGCTAACTCCCGGAGCCAGCCCGGTCTGGCTTGATGCCGACTGCTGCAGCTTCAGTGAGAAAAGCCAGTGTCATCTTTCTTACTGGAGTCTCGTCCCTCAGCACCACTTCTGCTGGTCTCTGTATGGATCCCATCTTCCCAACCTTGACATACAGTCAACTACCACACTTTCTAAAAAGTTTAAAATCCACCACTGCTGTCCTCTATGGAAGTTGTTGTCAGTGCAGCATTATTGAGGGTGAGACATGTACCTAAGTGTAGATTTCAGCTCCTGTTTTAGAAAATCTTAGCCCCAATTTCTCCCCTCCAGTATAACTTAAATCTAGTTTTTCAGTAAGCAAACAATACTAAATGACACCAACATAAACTGACAGGTAACTTGGCTTTGTTGTGTTTTAAACAGACGGTATTTTGGTGAAAAAATTGGCTTGTATTTTGCCTGGTTAGGCTGGTACACAGGAATGCTCTTCCCAGCTGCCTTCATTGGATTGTTTGTCTTTTTATATGGAGTCACAACGTTGAACCACTGCCAAGTCAGGTATAGTGAGCACTTTTATAAGTGACATTACCCCTGTTTGTAAATATCTGTGGTTGTTGTGCATGATTTGGTTCTGTTTCATTTCTTATGTTAACATTCACCATACCTTATCAAGTCTCTAACAAAAACAACAAACTCACAGGGCATGATTGTGCCCAACTTTCACCACTTAGTGGAGAAAATGCATCAAGTCTCCCTTGTCTTATACTCCAGCACCTGGACTGGATATTATATGGTCCCCTGGGTGCATGTACCGTAAAACTAGTGGACCTGCCGAATCTAGCTTCTCACAGTGATATGGAGATAATAGAGCCATGGCTTTCGGACTGGCAGGCAAAGGAGAGAGAAAATGTCATTCTCCTTAAGGGTGGCTCAGCAGCTGTGCTTCCCAAAGCTCCAGATCTTCTGAGGTTGTCACATCTGGAACTCCTCTGCAGGTGCCACACCTCCACACTGATTGTCAGCCTGCAACAGTGCCTGAAAGAGTCCTTTGACATTAACAAAATTTCCTTCAATCTGTACTCACCCTATTCCTGTCTCCTTCTGTCAAAGACCTCTCTTGGCTCAGGGACAATTTAGAAATAGTAAAGATCTAATAACTCATCCTGTTTATTCTTCCAGCCACTGCAAGACTGTTCTCTACAACATATTTTCTAGCCTTTTGGGATTTTGCTACTTACTTTTTAAACAAAAGGCCATGCCATCTATCGATTTCAAAGTACACGTGTTTTCTTGACAAAGGCATTATTCATTTATGAAGCTGAGGAGATCTACCCAGTCATAATGCATGTATCTCAAGACCATGGGAATATATTGACATCACAAACAGAAGTATGATAAGAGAAATTTAATTCACCAGTGGTGACTTCAGAGAAATACATTGGTTCATTTTAAGAATGATAGTTGTATAGGAAAGTATCAACCCTTATCTTTTCTCTTTTTCCAGTAAAGAAGTCTGCCAAGCTACAGATATTATAATGTGTCCTATATGTGATAAATACTGTCCCTTCATGAGGTTGTCAGACAGCTGTGTTTATGCCAAGGTACATTTAAACTATGTACATAGAAAATGTTTATCCTTTCTCAGTATATTGTGAATATCTTTAATAAACTTGGCTAAATAAAAAATTCCTAGTGATGTATCAAATTTAGCCCCTTCACTTCAAGGAACTCACTTATACTATGAATTTGGTTGTTAGAATTTATTAGAATTTACAATTGTGCTTAGAATTTATTTATGTGCAATTGCACTTGATACATTTATCAGTAACAAACATTATTTTCCTAGCACTTGGAACAGCACTTATGTACCATCTTTTGCACATAACTTCTCAAAACAAATTACCTCAGGCTGAAAGTCTGAACTACCTACTCCAGGACTTATAAATCTATGCAAGACATATCTGTTCAGCTGATTGGGACCTTGATCCCAACTCAGTGCTGAGTACCATAACTTTCATGTCCAGCACCATTCAAAGTAAGGCTCATAGAGAGGATGTTAGTCTTCAAGACAGTCAGTCGGAGATTTTCATGAGCACCAATCATTTTTGTCTTTATCTTTTAATAAAACAGAATAAATTGTGAATGGAACCTTCAAATAATGAATGCATCATGTTGTTGGTGTCATTTACAGGTAACTCACCTTTTTGACAATGGAGCTACTGTCTTTTTTGCTGTTTTCATGGCAGTGTGGGGTAAGTTTTTCTATGGATTTGTAGGATGTGAGCTAAGACCCTTTGAACTCCAGAATGCCTTGTTTCAGATGCTGAAATGAAGAATATTGGCTTGACTCTTCCTAATCAAGTATTTTCTAGTTCAGAGAAAATGTGGAGGTAAAGGATAAGAATTTAAATTTTTAAATGATCAGTTTCTAGACATTTTAATTTAAAAATGGATCAAATAAGCAGTATCCAGTTTGATAGTTGTGTATCAGTTGAAAAAACTAGAATTTTGAAACATGTTGTCATTGAGTTCTAGAGTCATTCCTCAGGTCTTGTCTCTTCTGGGGGGAAACATCATGTTATATCCAAGAAAAATTCACAGAACTATGGAATGCTATCCTGGAAGTATGTGAATGATCCTATTGAATGCATGGACCTTCCCTTGCTTCCCCCACCTCTCTAGTCATGTTTGTCGCTCCCCATCTCTTTTGGCCTTTGATTGTATTCTTTCTTACACAATTAACAATCAAAATTTGTTTCTAATACAAATGATTTCTCTTTTAACCATTCCCATATATATATATATACATACACACACACACACACACACGTTAGGTAGCAAATGATCAATATAT